CCTGGTGCTGCCATGTTCTGACACATTCTTACCTTTGTGTAACCTTTTTAGGGGCCGATAAATTTGGTGGTCAGCAGCTCTTTTTCCTCTTTTTATTTCACATATTTCAGAACTTAAGTCCAAAGGCTCAGATCGTTCTTCTCCAGTGCTGGAGCCTTGGTGGACCTCGGTGGTGTTACCCTGATTGACTCTGACTCTCGGGTTATGAACACACTCTTTTATTATATTCTCCTCTGCAGTCGTCTGTTTTCCAGAGCTGGTAGTTTGACTTCCCTTAACGTCTTCGTCACCCGTCTTCTTAAAACTGTCTGTGTCCCACCCGGCAGAGGAACCCAGAGAGAGATCGTCCATCTTTTCTTTTTCCATCTTTTCTTCCTTTTTTTCAACTTGATCTGAAACAGAATCTTTTAAATCTTCTTCTTCTTCACATTGGCTACTGTGTTTTTCATCCGCTCCTAAAATAAAACAGAGAATTATAACTATTATTAAAAGTTTTTAATAATAATAATATAATAATAATTAATAACTACCACATATAACACAGATGATAGTCATTAATAATGATGATGATGATGATGTGCAATGGCAGAAAGAAGGGAGAAAATGGTATCAGAGTTATGTAGGAGCTATTTATTTGAAGTTATTAAAAAGATATTTTGTTATATTGTTGTTCATGAGGATCCCTACTATGTCTATGTCTAATTTCATAAAACTACCACGCTAACATGTACACAAAACAGTAGAGTAACTGGGTCTACTTAAAGGAATTGATTGAAAGTTTCTTGTAACCTCTTAAGGATCATATTATGGGGAAATTCTGAATATGATGAATTCAATGGAGCTGCCTTTACCTTTAGTTTACTCAACAACTGTACAGTAAAATCTCGTGAAATTAGACATGGACATAGTAAGGGTCCTCATGAACAACAATCCAGTGACAGTTTGATATAACCTCTCAAGGATTTGTTTTTATAACCAGTCCAATATGGGGAAATTATGAATATGAATGCCATTTGAGCTAACTTTGCGTTTCATTTTCTCAAAAACTGTTCAGCAAAATTACATTAAATGTGACATGGACATATATGGGGTCATCATGAACAGACCTCCAGTGAAGATTTTAGCTAACCAATGAAGGAAATGTTTTTATGACAGATCAAAGAGTATTATTAGGTAATATTATAATTTTCGAACCCTTTTTCAATTAAAGATAGTATAGCAGTGTAACTTTAGATTTTATTATAGTTGGATTTCATAATAATGTACAAAATAATGTTGTTTTTAAACTTTTTAAATCAATATTGGACAAATGATTGCTATCATATAGGTCTATCTCCGTGCTTTTTGGGCTATCCAAGCCTCCGTACCGTAGCGCCACGAATAGACGAGCATTACATTTCCAGCGCCGGCTGACGTGACAGATAACGGCTCAACTTCACAGCAGTTCAACCTCACTGTGACGGTATCACTGCAGGAAGTCACTGCTCAGATAAAGTATCTAACCCCCCACAAAAATAGAAAATAAACTAGTTTTCCTGTTACAAGTTACAGTTAATAACTTTGAAGACCAGTGAGAGCTTAATAATAATAATAACTAGAACATTTCGCAAGAAATTTTGACAGTGTGGCTTCTACTGCCTGAAGACGTCGCAATATATATACACGCCAATGTTAGTAGTGTCATTCAGGTTCAATTGAGATAGCGCTACTCTCTTTTCTGCATTTTAGATTCATACTCTTGGATTGAATCTTGTATTTGTGGGGCTTTTATTTTGAAAGGGTGGGACTGGGTGGGTGAGAGAGGGGGAGAGGAGACAGAATCATAATGTTTGACACTAAAATGAGAGGCTTCATCACAAGCATTCCAGTTAGAATTCATTCTGTGGGGCTTTTAATTTGAAATGGGGGGGAGGGGGGAAAGTCCTCTAAAAAGACCTAAATGACTGTATGATAGAGAGAGATATAGAGAGAAAGAGAGAGAGACAGACAGAAAGATTGAGAGAGAGACAGACAGCGAGAGAGACAGACAGACAGAGAGAGAGAAAGAGACAGACAGAGAGACAAACAGAGACAGACAGATAGACAGAGAGAGAGAAAGAGACAGACAGAGAGACAAACAGAGACAGACAGACAGACAGACAAACAGAGACAGACAGACAGACAGAGAGAGAGAGACGGACAGACAGACAGACAGACAGAGAGAGAGACAGACAGAGACAGACAGACAGACAGAGAGACAGAGAGAGAGAGACGGACAGACAGAGAGACAGACAGAGACAGACAGACAGACAGAGAGACAGAGAGAGAGAGACGGACAGAGACAGACAGACAGACAGAGAGACAGAGAGAGAGAGACGGACAGACAGAGAGACAGAGAGAGAGAGACGGACAGACAGAGAGACAGACAGAGAGACAGAGAGAGAGAGACGGACAAACAGAGACAGACAGACAGAGAGAGAGACAGACAGACAGACGGAAACCCGATGGATTATATTCAGTGTGCCAAAGCACACTGAATAACAATGAACTCTTTCTGCGTAAACACAAACCCACGGTGAGTCAGTCGCCCTTTGGTTAATGTTTGTTTAGATATTTGCAAGTTAAATGGAGGTGCGTCTCTTTGCAACGTGTCACTTCATTGTTTCAGTTCAAACGATCAGAAGAAGGATTCACAAAAGAATCACTTCCTCCTTCAGCTTTCTATATTCCAAATACCAGAATGAATAAAGTTCTTTACAACAACACGACTTCTGGATCACTTCATTGTTATTCATCAGATCAGTAGAACAATGAAATCTATCGAGATGAGAAGCAGCTTCTGTCTGAACCTTCCTGTTAAATTACACTTTACAACTTCAATCAATGAAAACCGCTCCGACGAGTTCTCCTCCGGTTCTCTGCGCTACTCACCGACCGTGTTATTCCCGGTTCTGTCCGTTATATGCCTCCACCAGGGCGGTGCCCAAGGAAGTTTCCGGTTTCGGTTTACGTTGATCAGATTAATCAGATCGATATCTCACCATAGAGTCCTATTGATCCCAGCAGCCAGAGGTGTGTGTGTGTGTGTGTATCTGAGGTTCAGTGTGTCTTTCAGCTCCCGTGGTAGAACACAAAGTGAAGATCAGGATTGAAGCAGCGGTGATACATGAAGCTTCTCTACAGGAAGCTGTTCATCAGATGTCCAGTAGATGGTCACATTTCATCAGTTATCAGTCAGGTCACTGTTCGGTTGAGGCTGAATACAGAATATGAGAGGACACAAACATTTAGGATCTTAAACAAACACCAACACAAAGTGACTGAGCCTGGGTTTGATCATCATTGATCCCATTGTTGTATCAAACACAACAACTGATGTGATGCCAGTGGTTCAGTCTGTTCATCTTGTCTGGAAGAAAACCACCGCTAGAGGAGCTGCACGTGTAAAATACAGCAGTAAAACCAGTTTAAATATACATATAATATATATTTATACACAGTCAGGGCCATAATAGACCCGTGATGAGAGGAAACAGATGAGGACAGAATGATAAACAGCTTTAAGAAGTACGCAGACAATCAGGTTTCTATCTTTAGTTTGTTCTCGTGCACACATGAGGAAATGAAATCCTTGAATCTCCAGTTTTTGGGGTTTTTTTCGTCCTCAGCGATCACTTAACAAGGAGAGAAGGAAGGAAGGACAGAAGGAAGGAAGGAAGGAAGGAAGGAAGGAAGAAACGTCAAAACTTAAATCACAAAAACTTTCAGTTAAAAGTCATTATGCCAAAAAAAAAACAGAAACACTTTTAAGGTGAAGGCAGAAAGACACAATGTCTGTAACTCCTCAAACCTTAATGTGATATTTTACTTTTTCCATTGAATTAAAGCTGAAAGTCTTCACTTCAACCACACGTTGACTGTTATACAGTATATGTATATATATATATATACATATATATATATATATCACATAATAATATTCAGTGTCAAGGTGGGGCCAGGCCCCATGGCCCTCTATTGGCCAGCCGCCACTGAACTGCTCACATCAATAAAGTGTTGGAATGTGATTTATTTGCTTGTAGATTTAAATATGCCACAAGCTGAAATAATGAAACACCTTAAACTGGTTGATTACATATTTTAAAATGTATTTTCTTTTTTCCAGCTCTATCAGCTTCTTAATTAGCAGCATTTCCCCAAAATTGGTGCATTGATTGTGTCTTTACCTCTGTCTCCCTTTAACCTTTGTAAACCCTGACGGCATGAACGCTGCATCGCCCAATAAAACCCAGTTGTGTTGTAAACTCAGTGTCTCTCTGGTGTCTGGTGTAATTCCCCCACACGGTGATTTGAATACTTCTGCTTCACTTTCCAGGGATTCAGCTGCTCAGGTACACAGGTTATGAAAAGGTACAGCTATAGATTTATTAAAGTAAGAGAGCAGATTAGTTTCCCCCGAACGTCTGAAACAGAAACAACTATGAATCCACGTATCCATGGCTTGTTTAATTTAGCCCCTTTATTACATTAAGGTTTAAGAAATCAAAGACGGAAACCTTATATTTTAGTTTGATGTTTCTGCTCAACTATATGGTTCAATATTCACTGTTGAATTATTCAACTAAAAGTGGTCAAAATATGACATTTAGACTGAAACAGAATGCGTCTGTCTCTCTCTCTCCGCTATATTTTGAGGTCTTTGTCAGTATTTGTTTAAAATCTTAAATGTTTCTCACCTCACCTTTTCATAACTCTTCTGTCCCTTAATATCTTCAAACTGGTGTAATATCTCCATCTACTGGACATTGTTTTTAATGTATTATTTGCCCATTTTTATAAAGTAGATAGAAACCTAAACTCTACTAAAAGATCAAAAATATATATAAATAAAAACAATTGTGCAACATAAAATGTGAATTAACAGCATATCTTTTACATGCCAAATCACATCATATTTCTTTTAATGTATGCTGCTGTAGATTTAAAAATAAAATGAATTCCTCATACGCTGAGTCATCAAGGAGAAGAAGCCTTCTTGTACTTTAATCTGGATAATTCATTTGATTTTATAATCATTGGAGTAAAATCCTAATCTGAACGTAAGTAGTGACAAAATACATTTGTTACATAAATACATAGAAGTAAAACGTAGAATAGAAGTAGAAGTATCAAATGAAAATACCTCAGACTTGTACAGTGACTCTCCACCACTGATATGACCTCACTTTGAAAATAATGGAAAGATGTGAAGATATTCTGGTTTAATATTTTGGGTTATATGTGAATTTCTATCATTTTAGCCTCCACTTGTGTATTAGATCAATTATACTTGTACTCACTTAGCAGCTGGCTAGTTAACTAGCTACCTTGCTAATTGCACCATGCTAACGTTATACTGGTGACTCCGGGTCTGAACCCCTCAGCCTCACTCCTCGCTGCTGGAAGACTGCTTCACCAGAAGGAGATAGCTCGCTGACTAGCCAGCTCTGGAGACTGTCAGACCCGCTGCAGTAAAAGGTTTTCATCGTCACACATTAAAAAAACGTTTTTCTTTTTAAAAGGAGAATAAAACTTTTTATTCATTTGAACTCAGAGTTGTACAATTAAAATTTAGTGCAAGTGTCGGTACAAAACAAAGTGTCATCATACAACAGCAGAGCTTAATAACTTTCATCCAGTTATTTTGGGAAGAATAAGCAGAACAGAGTCACGCACACATGCAGCATCACTGAGCAGAGACAGCTGATTGGTATTGAGTAGAATCCGTCCCTCCTGAACATCCCCTCCAGCTTCAGTACATGGAAGGTTTCTCCTCTCCTTTTGGATTGGTCACCTTCTCCAGGTTCTTGCTGATGATGTCGTAAAGCTCGGCCTACAGGAAGCGGGTAGAAAGCACGGTTTAGATCGTCTTCCTCTACGACAGCAGCGTGGTAAATACTCCTGACAAACACCCGTGTGACTTACGTGGAAGCCGCGAATGTCGAGAACAATGACTCTGATCTCGCTGTAGATGTTCTGGTCCTTCTCGTGGACCAGCGAGCGGTAGTCCATCTGCAGGTGGAGAAAGCCAAGTTAAAGGTATTTACAATCATTTTATCAAAGATTTGAAGAAGCAATGTGTAAGATCTGGACACAATTTTAGTTTTAAACATTAAAATAATGAACAAACATTATCAACACAATGTGAAGACGCAACAGCGTTAACGCTGTCAAAGACGTCTTTGTGTCGTCAAATGAGCTCATGCTAACCAGCACCGCCCCGTCCTGTAACACCACTTGTACCTCGAGTGGTGGTCGCTAGTGAGACGAAGACGTAGAGCTGCCTCGAGGGCTTGAGATTCACCTTGAAGGTACAGCGTCCGTGAACGTTTTGATATTTTGTTCATTGGATTAAATCCCCCAAAAAATGACTTGTTTTTGTTTCGTCCTGCCCACCGGCGGGCGGCCGCTTGGATTGATCAAGTTAAAAGTGTACACGGCACAAACACACGTTGGGTCCACGTCTGTCCAAAATATCACCACTGTGTTGAAATTGCCATCATTAGCATATTAATTCTTGAGTTAGTTAAAAGCGTTCAGTAATGTCCTAAAAACAGCTGGTCACTGTAGTTTTATAATCAAACCATCAGGAGGAAATGGAGCGTTTGTTGGGACTATTTTCAGCGGCGGATTAATCCACATTTGGTGCTAATGGAGTTTATGGAGATGAAGGAACACGGTGCTTTTAGTGGAGAAGAGATATCACACACAGTACTTGTTCGTAGATACATTCACTGTTACTCACCACATGAGTCTCTTTGGAAGCTTTCCCAACAGCGTCTCCCCGCTCTGAGAAGTACCTGAGTAACTCAACACAAATGGCAAAAGTCAGGAAACAAACCCGTAAAACAATATACCATCAAAATTATACTATTCTGTCAAAACAGCTGAACGAGACGCAATCTAGTCGTATTTTATTAAACTTTAAAACTAAACTTATATCCAACCCACTTGTTGATGTTGGTCTGAAAACCATCGACTTTGGTCCTCACTGCTGCGATTCTCTCCAAGATTTTCTCCTGTGGTGAGACAAAAACAATCAAATATGAATTAATACTATAATAAATAGCAAAGTTGACATCCTGCGCGTGGGAAACGTACCTGGACGGCGACTCCAAAGTCGTTTCCATCTTCTATTTTGGGGACGAGTTGCTGAATCCAGCAGGAGACCTTCAGGAACAGAGAGTTCAACTCAAAGTTAATTCAGCGTTTCAGAGGAGGAAGCAGCTCAGCGGTCGTTGAGGTGAGAGGGATCGACTCACAGTGATGATGGTCTCTCTGAGGGCAACGATCTCTGGTTTCACCTTCTCCAGCAGCACCATGATCTTCTCATTGCCCGTGATGTAGCCACATTTTGGAGCTGCAGGACAAATGATGTTGTTGTTGTTGTTTTTTATGTCATGTACATTGTGTGGAGATAAATAAAAAAAACACATTTTACCTTTCTTCTTTTTCTTCTCGTCAGCGTCATTCTTATCCGTCTCCATTTCCTGTGAGATCAATTTTAAATGGTTACAAATCTTTTATCTTTAAGTGTATCTCAATACAGAGAGGTTCTGTTGTTTAGCCCACCATTGATACAAACGAGGAGGAAACATCTGGTAAACAAGCTTAGTAACTGTTCGATTTCAATTCAAACCAGATTTATTTTTAGTTTAACGGGTATAATTTAAATGTTGCTTCATATTTATTCTCATTATCTACCCTCGTTATCAATGTTTTAGGTCATTTAGTTAAAAGAAAAAAAAAAGAAAAAAGTTTAATGAAAATTAAGTGAGAAAAGAAGCAAAAATAAAACACCTTTATCTTTTAAAGTGTTCAAAATAAATGTTATATTGTTTATCATATATTATAAATCATATTCAACCTGAATAGCCCCTTCTTAATATAATGATATCTACAATATTCAATATAAATTGAGGGGGGGGGTGTCTTAAAGAGACAGGCGCTAGAACGGAGCGTTTCACTCAGAGGGTGAATATGAGGTACATTCAGACGGACAGCATGAGAAAAATAATGTTTTTAAAACATTAAATCATGTAAACATGTTCTAATACAAAACCCAAAATACAAGTATGAACAACAACATTAGCATAGCGCCTCTCCTTTAAAAGTTTCTTCTTTTTAAATAAGAGTTGCGTATGCTGAGAGTGATGGGTATTTAACGAGTTACATTTAAGAACGGTATTTGGTGTCTGTGTACGTAGGAGGCAGAATGAGTGTTTACTTGAGTTCAGCCTCCAAAACAGTTTCAACAACATCTAAACATTATAACCACAGAGAAAGAATCGGAGTAGAACCAGATATTGAACTTCTTCATGTGGTTATTTGACGAGGACAGTTGCAGGAATGTTGTGTTAGCCAGGTGTACCTAATAAACCGGCCACTGAGTGCATTTCAGAGTACTTCCAACTGTAATATTAAAGCTATTTAAATTGGCTTTTTGGCTTTTGGCTCTGGGGCGTCAACACTGGTTAACAACGCCGAATGTAACAGACCAGAATGCAATGCGGCGGGACAGATCCTGCTCTCCAGTCACTCTCACTATAGCCGACACTCCCACGTCATTATTAAGAGCGGAGTGCAAACAGGTCGGTGCAGGCCTCTCTTTGGAGGATGTCACAGGTGGGGGGAATAAAAGCTAACTGAAGTGGACGACGTAAGGGAACCAAAACAAGTGCAGCCGAATGGACAAATGAGACGTTAGTTTGTATTTGAAGTGCTAGGAATGCACAACTTGAGGATATAACCCCTGTTAAGGGGAAAGAGGAGGCGTGAGACCTCACCTCCTCCTCTGTGGGCGGAGGCTCTGGTATGGGGATGTCCAGGGGAGCCTTGAGGGACGACATGTCTGTGATGCTGAGGGCATCATCCTAAAAACAACACAGCAAACACACCGAGAGGATGAGAGGATGAGAGGATGAAGAGAATGTACATCGGAGGAGTTGTTGAGCGTGTGCGGTAAAGTACTGACCCTCAGCAGAGCATCCAGCTGCTTGATCCTCTCGGGGATGTAGTTGCAGAACAGGTTCTCTGCCTGAAAAACATGGAGGAAAGAAACACTTATTTGGAGCTTATTTGGGTTAAATGATTAAAAATAACAGCAGAATAAATGTCAACGGACCTGATGACACAGGGTGTTGCGGAAGTTTTCCACCTGTGGAAAAAGGAAAACAGGCTGAAGTGAAGGAAACACTTCAGTTTAAGCTGCTGACTCATGTCACAGGAGCTTTACTTTCGGTTTCCTCTCACGCGGGGACTTTCCACCTTCACCGAGCTCGTGTTTGTGCCCAAAGAGTCAGAAACTAATGAACTCAAACCAGCTGTTATTTTAAAGTATTTCAGCATATAGCGGCAGCACCACATGCAGCTGACTGTAACTTTGCATTCACAGCAGAGAAACTTACCTTTCCTAGATTCGCGCGGCTTATCTTCAGGCTCGATGTCTTCGACATGACTGCGCAGACTCTTCACGCTTCAGGACAGAAACCAGCTGCTCAGATTCAGTTAGAAGTGTTGTTCGGGAGCAGGAGACGACAATATGGCTATTTCTTATTTCCTCGTCCAGTTTGCTTTCTATTTCATTGTCGCCTGATGCAGTTAGCGCCTCCCACCGTCTCCCTCCGCCCCTGAAAGTAGTCCTGAGTTTAAACATTAACGTGCGTGCTAAAGAGACGTTATAAATGAGTAAATAAATACATAAATAGATACATTGGTACATTAAATAATATGTATTATTATTGTTATTAATATTCTTATCATCAGCATTTTTGCTATTATTATTATGGTTATTATTGTTGTTATTTTTATTATAATTATAATTTTAAAAAATATCATTGTTGTTGCTGTGTCCACAATCCTCCACATAATGCAGGATGGAGACCATAATACCATATAGCATAACATTATCTTTTACATTTATTTTTAATTTTCTGTGAAAAACAACAATATTCTGTTTTGGCTTTAAAATAAGTTGATAATAATACACAAATAAACAGTTTCACATGTGAAATGAAGGACATCACATGTGAACATATCAATTTTAATATTAAATGTCACCTGAAACAAATTATAAAATATTAAAGACAATTTTCCAGTCTTTTTCTCCCACTGTGCTCCTTGGTATTAAAAGGAACTCACAGACCTAAAAAAGTAATGTTGTATGAGAGGAAAAAATACTGTTATTAAATAAATTAAATGTTTATTTTATTTTATTTCATTTTTTTTCATTTCACTTACGTTGGGAACTAGTTGTGAAAATTCCGCTTTTATTTTGAAAAAAATAAAAATCGTGACAGGAAGTGGAGCCGGAACCTAAAAACGTCAAAACTCGAGTTCCGCATTTGAAGCTATGTTGTCGGTGTTAGCTCCGGAGACAGCACGGAACTAGTGTAGGTTACACATTAACCCGCTGACATGCATTCATAAAACATCTTATTTTAGTGAACGTTAAATACTTCTGACTTTCACACCGAAGCACGAATAACCGTCGAAGCTCGTGACGACGGTAACGTAATCGAGCAGGTAACGTTGTGTGTTTGTTTCTTACAGTAACTTAAAGTTTCGGTTTCATCTCTCATGAATTGTTCTTATCGGGGTTTGTTTTCTAGCATAAACTTAAACGTTTCATCATCAACTATTATTAAATTACTTTATTTTATCGCGAGGAAACATTAGTTTATGATGACGTTATGATTTTATGACTACTGTGTCACACTGTGATTAGTCCGGACTTTTCCAACTGTCGTCATTTGATTAAAAATAAATAGTTGAGGACACTTAATTAATTATTAATATATATATATATATATTCTTTATATTTTAGTATTCATATTTTTCAGAAGTCTGGATGGTAAATATACAATATTTCAGATTTGAATTAAAGTCAAACATTTTTATATTATGTTTTTTAATTGCAACCAATTAAAAGACATAATATATTCACTTTACGATACACAAGAGAAACACAGCAGATCCTCACATATGATAAGTTGTGATAATTGAGCTGTGATTTTAAACAATGTATTGATGAACTTTCCCCTTTATTTCTGTGACAGTCATGAGCAGCAGCCCTGCATCTGTCCAGATGGAGGAGGTGAGGAGGAGGTCCCAGTCGCTCCTCTCCTCCTCAGGTTCAGCCCAGGATGTGAAGGAGGAGGTCCAGACCATGGCCTCTGTCCTCCTGCCTCTGTCGGAGAAGTACCGGCACCTGGGAGTGGAGGCCATGTTGAGGGAGAACGCAGCCTGTCGCAACACACAGGAGGTACAGTTACAGTTACAGTTACAGTCACAGTTACAGTCAGTTACAGTTACAGTCAGTCACAG